TATACTGAAATTGAATTTGGAGCGCAGACATTTCTTACCGAAAAATAAAAAAAATAGGGTGTGCTGGAAATTTTCTTTCGCGAAACTCGCTACGCATACGGGTGGGGGCGTTGTTTTCCAAATCGATCTTCCCCAGTCCAAAAATTACCGCATTGAACAGAGTTTTATGAGGTTTCATTTTGCAGCTTTACTATTGTTGTTTTTTTGGAGCGTGTTTTTTTTTGGAATACCCAAGATGGCGTCCCAACTATGACGAAAAAACTAACTGCAACTGGAGAACCCAACACTTAAAGCGGTATTTTATGGTCTTTGGTTTTGCTGATTACGAATCTGGAGTCCGCTTTAAAAAAATCAAAATGGCGGCTAAAAAATTAAAATCGATCAGATTCGTCTGAAACGTTTTCCACGGGGTTGTTGTGGTCGCTAATTACGACTCTAAAATCAGATTGAAAAAATTCAAAATGGTGGACGCAATATGGCGGTAAAAAGAATTACAATCGATTACATTCACTTAAAACTTTACAATCGGGGGTTGCTCAGGTCGCTGAATACGAATCTGAAATAATATTTTAAAAATTCAGAGTTTCGGATCCATATTGGATCTAAAATTTAAAACGGAAAAGCTAAAATCGAACGTGTGTACTTGGCGTATGAGTTACTCAGACGAGATGATAATAATCCGACTGATTGATTGAGCATATCTGCTCTAAGCAACAACAATAAGTACAACAGTATGAATGCAATGCATTTCGTTAAAAACAAATTAAGGCAACCTTTAAATGCGTATATTTTTGCGCCTGGTCCACCGATTTGAAATCTTTTTGGCTAACCTTGGCATGTGATCACTTTAATTTAATATACATGCTATATATATAGGTAACTCAATTCTGTAGCTGCTTCAAATTGCTCAAGCTAAGTCGCGTGGCTGAGGAATAATACATAGAAGATGGCCACATGGGGTGCTATGTACAGGCCCGTCAAGAGGGGAGGTCAGCGGGGTCAATTGCCCTGGGCCCGGCTGAAAAAATGTATATTCTCAGAACTTGCCGAACTTTTTATGAAAACTTTACTTTATTTACATTGAATGTTTGATGTTCAGAAGTTTTCACATTCTTTGAATTTGTGCAAAATTATAAATTTAACAATTGTTGTCTTGAAAGGTGGTCGATTTTACAAGAAAATATTAGCTACTCATTGCACAGTATGTCACAAACTCCTTGATGGGATATAGTCGATTGTATAGAACTTGTCGCAGCTCGTCTTCCCGATATTAACCGTAGAATACTAATTTTCGTCGATTCGACAACTATCAATCCCATTTTACTTATTTTATCTTTACAGCGTTGTGTGATTGCGGTCAGATTTTATTTGCGGTTTATCTTCTGTTCTTGAGAGAATACGTTTTTTTTTTTGTTTGAATTATCGGAGTGTGTTTTTTCTTACTTTAGGTTTGTTCGTCGAAAATCCAGCAAGAATTATCCAACACTCAAAATATCAGAGAGTAAGGAAAAATTCTCTAAAATTCTCTCTCATGTTGAGAAACTTGCAAATTTCTGCACGAACGCAAATTTGCAGGAATTTGCAAGTTTCGCTGCCAGCTGGCGTCCACGGTTGCATTTCAAACATAAAAAATTTTTATAGAATTTTTAAAATTCTTTCGGATGGCCAAAAACAGGATATACATGTATATTTCTTGTTGTTCTGACTTTCTTCAACATACATTTCAATTTCTTCATCGTACTAGCTGTCGGGTTTCTTAAATCGACTCTGGTTGCAATTGCATTCCGATTGCGAATACCATTTTTTTCAGCCGAATTAAGTTCAAATCATTGGAATTAACTAAATTAATTATATCAACAATTATTTACTTCCTTTTTTCATAAAAAAATCGCTCGTGTTTATAAATTTTTAAATTTAACGAACTAATTTATTCAAATTATTGTAGACAAAAATGCAACCATGCGCCACAACCACATGTTTTTCGTGTTTGCAAATTCTTGCTGGCAAAATTTTTTCCAGCAAGAATTTGCAACTTCTCTCCAAGAGAACTGTCACTTTGCTCTCACAATTTTCGAGTGTTGGATAATTTTTTGGTCTGCACGAACGCGATTTGGGCAAAAATCGTGATAATTCGTACAAATTCGTACAAATTTTTTGCTCGACGAACAAACCTTTTGACTTCTCATCGAAATGAAGTCGAGACTTGTGTCTCATGCGCAAAATGAATTTGTAATTTAAAGATTTGATTATTTAGTACGAATGTAATTTGTTACGTTTTGCTTCGTTTGTTAAGTTCAAGAGAAAATTTACTATTTTGTATATAGGGAAAGCATTGTTTAGGAACCTTCTCTTGGTACCCATGAATAGTATTATTTTACCTTTTTTTCTAAACAAAAAATTAAATAAATATGCGATTCAATATAGGTGGCAACCCTATTAAAAATATTTTTGAATTAGGAAGCTTTAAAATACCTTCCATTTGATACCGATATTATGATGTTTTAATTAATTTGTAACTAATTTCGAATAGGTGGCAACCTTACACGAGTCTTCTCGGAGATAATGCCTATTCAGATAACCTTATAATCCAAAACATTATCGGTGTACAAAATTTCATCAAAATCGTTAGGTCCGTTTCCGAGAACTTTATGGATATATATATATACAAGAATTGCTCGTTAATGTAATAAGATATTAAATTTATAAGTTTGATAATATGTATAACATTTGGTTTACTTTAATTTGTAAAACAATAGGGTTTTAACAAGACTTCGTCGAATCTATGACAATTAGTACCTACTAACGTATGGTTAGTACTCTAGGGGTTAAGAAGTCTCTTGAAGCTATTGAAACACGGAATCTGACCGCCGAGACAAGATCATATGAGAAGAACATTAAGACGTACATGGAATCGCTTGATGTATTTTGATGACCTCTGTTTACCACCAAATTCTGATCCGAATTTATTACCGGAGTAAAAATTTACAAGCCAGAGATGCCATGATTGATGTGGAAGCTGCCAACATAAAGAGTTTACTTGAAGATCTTAAAAGGCTGGCGAAAAATTTTGGTCCCTCAGATATGTTTCAACAGAAACGGAGTTAATCAAGAAAATGCAATGACAAATTACTTAAAAAATCCATGTATTAGGGAGCCTTAATGGTAACATGACGTTGCGATTTGATGCTCTTCAGTTTAGCTAAGAAACTCTGCAAAAGCAAGCAGAATACTTCTGCTAAACTAACGATATGGACGTCTCTATTGTTATGATTCGACAAATTAAACATTTACAAGCAATAAGCAAATCTAGGATCCCCAAAACTTTGCCTCCCTTCCAACACTTAAGCAAGTAATATTCCAGCGACTGTTGCTGAAGGCGAACGCTCACTCAGTATATTAGCACGAATTAAAAATTGATTGCGTTCCACGAGGAACCAAAATAGACTAACTACTATCGGAACTTTGAAATTGGAATCATCTTTTGCTCGTACAATTGATTTCGAATCCATCATCTAAATGTTTGCTGACAGAAAAGCTCGGAAGGGTTTCACGTTAAATTAAATATTAATTAAAAAAAATAAGTATTTTTTAAATAAATTCATTACATTAATCACGTCCAAGACAATCGACGCTCAGGGTACATAGCGCACACCATCTTCAAAAGAGGCACAACTCAAAACTAAGACCCAAAAATATACATATAAAAAAAAATATTTGCATTAATTGGGGATAAATCCTACGAATTGATTTATGCAAAAAATCTGCCAAAATTTTGATGATAGTGTGCGTTTTGTATGTGTGTACATAGAGAAAAAAGCTAGGCAGGGTAATATGATATGCACATAAAACATGTGTGCTAAATTTTATTTTTTCCCCCTTATGGGTAACACTGGGCCCAGTGGACCCCAGACAAAAAAATGTACGTAGAATTCGAATCTTATAATAACAGTTAAACTTACAAAATCGATTTATAATAGTATCTGTATAAATTATATAGCCCCAAAGTATGTCTAGTGTCTACTGGACTCAGTGCGAACATTACGGGTTAAAGCCAAGTAAAGTACGTATTACACTGTTTCAGGGAGAAATAAAAAAAAAACTTTCTCCTCTAAAATTTGCTCTTTTTTTGCTTGCGATAAACTCGTTTAAAGTACAAAACCGCGTATGTGAGGTTGCATAATTTATTTTCTAGAGAGAAAAAAACGTTCATATTTCAAAATGGTTCTCCTTTTTTACAAAGCAATCGCATTTCTGGCTAGTATATCTCAGGACGAATGGCTAAGGATTGAGCCAAGAGCTTGTGTGAGCAAATCCAAAAAATGTCAGTTACCTATGCGTTTTTGCACAACGACGATACGCGCTTTTGTACTTTAGACGAGCATATGTATGTATGTAATTATGCTACATACATAAGTACTACTTGTGCTCTAAGTGAAAAGCGTGAAAATTCAAAACATGCTGTGCTAATGAATGCATATGACCAAATAAATTATTTTGAAAACTAAGGCAATGAAAAAGAATGTAACAACACAATAAAGCATTTATAGCAAATTTAATATTTATGCATTTTTCACTCAATTACCAAACACTTAAAGACAACTTCACACATACCAGAACCCACCCAAGAAATGATCTCACGCGCATGTACACAAAAAAAATGCAAGTTTGCAAGTGCCAGCTGACACATGAACACACATACAAGTGGAACAACTTGCAGATTAATTTTACTTTATATTTCAGGATCTTTTTTTTTTTTAGTTTTTAAACTCTTAAGTTTTACGTTCAATTTTCCAACACATGTGCGTCGACATCAGTTGAAAGTTCATTCTACTGACAGCCAGCAACTACATACTCCTTCATAGTGCACTTGTGTGTGTGTGTGTGTGTTTGCTTGCATTTGGGCACATGTATATGCACATATGTGTTTATGTCGGTTTACAGGAATGTATGAATGAATGAATGTATGAATATGTGGAAGAGATCGTTACCCCTACACGTACCTGCTCTGCGGTCTTTAGAAGATTCTCAATTTCGAAACTGCTCGTACGTGAGGTCGGCTTGGTACCGGCTGCGACCATTTGTGCTGGTGTCGGCTCAACGGATGATGGTGCCGGTGAGCTTTCGGCCTCAGGTGAATATAAATCTTTACCGGTGCCATCTGTGAAGAAAAATGAGCACACAAATAAATGAACATAATGAAGAGATAAACATACTGTGGTGCGTTTGTTTGTATGTACATATGTAGGTACATATGTACATAAAGATGCACTTTAAAGTTGCACAAACTCTTGGTTGCAACTCTGTGAACTGTATGCACAACTATGTATGTATGTATGCTGAGTATGTGAAGTTTTGTGTAGTGCAAGTGTTAAAAGATTACTGTACCTTAAATCTGCGTAAATTAAGAAGACATATCACAGTGGTTTAACTTTGTACAATAGAAAAGGCTTTATTATGCCGTGTGGTTGTGTGCTAACTACCATTCGAGAGACACAGATTGATATTCCTAGCAAGCGAATAGCACTTCTCATAAATTGAAGGAGAAGATTGATCAAATGCTTAACAATGGATGTATGTATGTATATATGAGCAAATCTCACAAGTTGTGCTTTTAGTGTCAATCCCGTTCGCCGGGTTTCAGACAGGGCGACTGTCTCTCATGTGATTTCTTTAATATGCTGTTGGAGTAGATAATAAGAGTTGAAGCTCTGAACCGCTCAGGAACAATTTACTACAAAAGCGTGCAATTGCTGGCTTATGCCGATCACATCGACATCATCGGTAACAAAAACCGCGCAGTCTGTTCTGCCTTTTCCAAGTTGGATAGGGAAGCAAAGCGAATGGGTCTGGTGGTCAACGAGAACAAGACGAAGTATGTATCTCCTGTCATCAAACAAACAGTCAGGGCATTCACGTCTTGGCACCCACGTCACTGTTGACAGTGACAAGTTTGAAAAAGTAGACGACTTCGTTTATTTGGGAACCAGCATTAACACCAATAATAATGCCAGCCTTGAAATCCAACGTAGAATCACTCTTGCCAACAAGTGCTACTTTGGACGGAGTAGGCAATTCAGGAGTAAAGTCCTCTCTCGACGTACGAAAACCACGCTCTATAAGTCACTCATCATGCCCGTGCTGGTATATGGCGCAGAAGCATGGACAATGACAACATCCGATAAGGCGACTCTTGGAGTATTCGAGAGAAAGATTTTGCGGAAGATTTACGGGCCGTTACGCGTTGGCGACGGCGAGTACCGCAGACGATAGAACGATGGGCTGTATGAGCTTTACAACGATATAGACATAGTGCAGCGAATTAAAATACAGCGGCACCGCTGGCTTGGCCATGTCGTTCGAATGGACACCGGCGCTACAGCCCTGAAAGTATTCAACGCGGAACCCGCTGGTGGTAGCAGAGGAAGAGGGAGGCCCCGCAATGCGATGGAAAGATCAGGTGGAGAAGGACTTGGCTTCACTTGGCATTTCCAATTGGCGCCAGTTGGCATAGAAAGGAAACGACTGGCGTGCTTTGTTGAACTCGGCCAAAATCGCCAAAGGCGGTTACAGCGCCAAATAAGAAGAAGAAGAAGAAGAAGAAGAAGAAGAGATGACTATGAGTTGAGAAAATAAAATTGCATTTTTACAATTTTTATTGGCATACTCGAAATTCATTCTAAAATTGCTATATATGCGCAAAAAATACTGTAGAAAAATATTCCACGCCAACACTTACTTGCTTTAAATAATATGATTTTTAAGCTAAGGTGTGCGAGTAAACGTGCTACGGGGCGTATACGCTACGCAGCTACGGGTATATGAGCACGGGTTGTTATTTTTACTTTTTAGTACATCCTTTTTAAATTTTCATTTAAATACTTCATATTGCATTCTATTCTATCCTATTCTATTCTATTCATTCTTCATACAAAACTTACGTTTTTGTCTTCAAATGTAACAACTCGTGAAATTTGCTCATATCCTTTGAAGCGATTGAACAATCTGAATACGAGGTATGGCAAATGGAAGCTAACAAATTCCTCTGTTAACCACATATGTATATGTACATAGAGGAGTGTACATGGTTTATGAGTAACATTTTTTCCTGCTCATTATTATACCCGAGCGTACTTGTGCACAAGGGTATATTAATTTTGTTCACATAACGGTTGTTTGTAACAGCCAAAACAAATGTAGCAAAGACAAATGTATACATAAATAATCAGAATGAAAAGAGAAATCGATTAAGCCATGTCTGTCTGTCCGTATGTGCAAGCGATAACTTGAGTAAAAATTGAAACATCTTAACGAAACTTGGTATGTGTGCTTCTTTCAGACGTAGGACGGATGGTATTGAAAATGGGAAAAATCGGAAACAAACCACGCCTACCTCCCATATAACTGAAGCTTTTTCACTCAAAATTGATATTTACAATGACGTTTAGACGGAAAATAAGAATGTTATAAGTTTTTGGAACATGGGCGTAGCCACGCCCACTTATGATTACATTTGTATATCTTGGGAACTGCAATATACCAAATGGCTGAAAGCTTTCAAAATCGGACAATAACAACGCCCTCATCCCGTATAACGGTAATTTGGAGAAATACGAAATCTTCGATAATCAGTAAATGCTGAGGCGAATTTATTCGAATTTGATGCTTGCAATAATTCTTTTGCGAAAAATACGTTTATGATAAAATTTTGAATGGTAACAGTAAATTTCAGAAATGCTTGAAACTTTGATATTTCGAAATTTAAGGACGCTAATTTACTCAGAATTGATACTAACCACAATCCCTTGAAAAGAAGTAAGATTATTATGGAATTTTGGAAAATCGGCGTGATACCGCCCACATAAATGAAACTAAACATACTTATAAGTTTATCTTGTTATTTCTATCGAAGATGTTTGAAATAGGGGTAAAACCACCCCTGCTTACAAGGTAGCAGTAGCTTTCGGAATGGTGAAAAAACTATATCGAATACTTGCGCCGGGTATTTAATGTTCGGCTCCGTCCGAATTTATACTTTTTTACTTGTTCATACACAAAATATTTTGCGTATTTTCATTTGACCACTCATTCCTTTTTTAACACAAGTAAAATAAATTTACACAGAATCTGTTATTTTTTTAATCTTTTCAAAAAAATAAAATAAAATAAAATAAAATAAAGTAGGACCACTTTTTGTTTTAGGCTGAATAACGGTAAATTGCAAATATCTCGAAAGCTTATTCATAGCAACAAAAAAAACTATATTTTCCGAATCAGTGAGCAATTCTACATAGGAATAGTGGCATCCATAGAAAATTTTTGCTGTAACCAGGTTCCGCTCATTTTTCGCTGTTTATTCCTGGCTGACTTGTTTCTCTTCACAAGATTTAATGCATTTCTTGAAAGTTTGATCGGAATTGGCAAGTGTTGGCATATCCAAAGTGAACTGTTCTGAATTAATCAGCTGGGACTTTTTCTTTGAAACTCTCTAAGCTCCTAAAATTACAACTAAAACCTTTGAGCAAGGGCATCCATACCGAAACGTAAGACGTATTCTTCGTTAAAATTCTCAGGTTTTAGTAATTGGAATTGGTTTTGACCTAAAGCTGCTATCCGAATGGTCGATTTTCAACATGAACTTTGGAGTTATTATAGGCAGGCAGCTTGACTGGAAGCGAATTGTTGAAAACTGATCCAGGAAGCTAAAGGAAAAAAATGGGGAATAAGACCACATTTAGTAAACTAGATGTATACAATTTTACTACGGCCTATCCTTTTTTGTGAGGTTCTCGCTTGGTGGCACGCGCTTACCAAAATTCTACACAGGGCAAAGATGGAAAGGCTACAGCGGACAGCAGCCTCTTCCAAAGCTCTGGAACTTATTTTAATATTTCTACCGGTAGACCCATGCGGAATTTGCTTTTCAGTGTCAATGCGACAAGGTTACTTGCGATATAGTCGTGGAGAGATCTCCGATTCGGACATAAGGATCTCCCATGAAATTTGTCGAGTAATTGTCGAGAATTGAGACTACGCCAATCTAAATTAAGTAAACGTTCTCCTTTTTCGGCGATATATCAAGGGCACTCGGCGATTGAATTTCTCAGGGAAGTAAGAAAATTAAGAGCTCTTTCGCCAGTGGTATGACATAGGGTATTTCCTGAGCGGTAACAGCTACTCTAATTAAACCTAACTTACCTTAAAGTTCGAACGATTTTTTAGAATTTTGTTGATTAGTTACCTAAATTTTTGGTTGCAGCTATGATCCCATTGACATGAAATATTTACATATGTCATATGCATACCTTTAGGAGTCACATAAAAAGCACTTAAAACAGCCTTTGTGTATTTGTTCTCAATTAGTACTGTATAAAATTTCAATCTAAAACGCCACAGTAAGTTTTTCGTTAAAATGTCATATGTCCCCTGAATGTTCACGCATCCATTCGTTCTAACGAGTTGCATAACAATCTTCGTTCAAAGTCCCCTTTTGTACTGCAACTCAAGTGCAACCTTTGTGGCTCAGCACTATTACATACTTTTAAATACTCACGCAAAAGAAGTAAAATAAATAAAGTTAAACTATACACCGATGAACGTAAATTACAAATACTTATGTGTTGAGCAGTTTGCTTATTTACTCGCTTGTAAGAATGCCACAAGTCCACCTACAAATATGTACTTTCACTTGTCTATGCACTTATAAAAGCCAGTACGTGGGGCATTTTATGAGTACCACACACAGTGACAAGCGAAACGTAGGAAATTTGGGAGTTGGTTATGGAGTTGTAGTCAGAAATGAAGATACATGTATGTACATTAGACTGCGCCAGACAAAAATAGTATTTAAATATGCTACGTATTTTCAGCAGAAATTGTTGAAAAATGGCGAAGACCGTGACAATGTAAAAATTTTTCGCAATTTTTGCTAATTTTTTACAATAGAAAAAAGCTTTTTTAAACAGCTTGTATACAAAAGATGTGGGAAATTAAATTCTCTACAAATTTGTATATAACTGTTTTTTACAAAAAATTCAAAATAAGCTTGCAAATCGCAAAAACCCCAAAAAAACCTAAAAATCCAAGATGGCGGAATGTTCCGGTATGAAGACCAAATAGAAGTAAACTACATCAAAAGTTCGCTCCTACAATTTTTTTTTT